CAATCCCCCCACACTATTGTTCGGCTTACATGTTCAGACGTGTCGCGCGGAATCGACACATAGCCACAATTTATTTTGTGTTATTTATTTCTGTGTTTGTTATATTTACGGAGACTTGAGAGACTCTATGTGGTGATTTCTTGTAACCGTGAACGAATCAAAAGACGAGATAAGATTAACGAGAACATTTATTAGCTTACATACATCCGACTTGGGTTTTACACAAATTGCGAAATTATACCCCGACTTACGCGGTTATCGCTCGGTCCCACCTATCGCGTAAGTTCAGTGTATTACTGTACATATTTTAAGATACTTTGTGTCTCGTAAATCACAAACAGAACCAATTCCATTAGCCTTCTTTATACCAGCGGTTACGATAATTGATAATATGAACCTCGATCTGTACAAACGAATAACGTAACACCAGTGGCGTGCCGCCATTGGAAGCGCCGCTTTCCTTGTACAGTATTTTCTAGAAAATAAATACATATTGCGCGATTATTTTCATATTTTAACGTATTTTGGATTAATTAAAATTAATATTTTATTATAACCGCATTATGTATCTTATTACAAATTTCTATACTATGTGTGGAAAAAATGATAAGATTGCTATTATACAGTATACATTCGAATATCAGTGGCGGAATGTACTGTCGAATATGGCGCAGCTTCCAAGCAGCCAGATTCACGCATGCGCTTTACAGAGCACCAACCTCACTTAGGTGGAATAATATTGTGTTGAGTAGCTACTGGATTAAACCTCACTTAGCTGGTGGAAGCTACACACACAACGCTTCCAATAATTCTATCTAGGACGGGTTCTGAGCTGTTAGCCGCCTGCTTGCTAGATATTTGGCCGCCCTCGCCCAATTATGTAAATCGCGAGTAGATTTATAACTTAACCCAACCGATAAAAATTTACTGGTATGCTTTTATGATAGTTATGTATAGTTGACAGGAGTTTTAAAAAATCCATTAAAATATTTAATATTTTTATTCCGTTCTCCGATTTTATATTACTCACGGATTTCAATGTTAAACCAGATATTACGATTTCGTATGTCCCATCTCTAAGGAGATGTAGAAAAAAACGTGTACAATTCTTGTACAATGTTAAAAAATTAACTGTTACTTTGGTAGCATCATTTACAACTAAATTTAATGAATGAGAGAAATGAACGAGGTACAGAAAAAGCTCTAGAATTTGTTTTCCTTAAACTTACGATTTATGTATCCGTTGTCATAAAAATTTGTCTTTCCACTATTTTCCGCAAGACTACAAATATTCGAGTACAAAGTAACCGGTTTCGACTTATTTTTACTTAAGAAGTAGTTAAATAATTAAAAGATTAGGGAATCAGGGACATAAATAAAATCCTGCTGAAAGAGCTGGAATATTACTTAAAAGATTAACCGAACCAATCTATAGCCGAGTACAATACAGTGGAGACTGATTTCTTCGTATTATTAATGTAATAAAGACAGAAATTTTTCCAGTTCAACGAGAGTGACCGAAAAGTTGTAAATTTTTGAAATTTCTGAGGACACTTGGTCACAAGGGCGGACTGGCCCTAAAATTTTTGTGTGGAAAATTTATTACCAGCCCAGCCCACAAATAAAAAAATGTAGTTTTTTCTATTTATATTTAAATATATTCAAAATACAACATTGACAAAAATTACAATAATCACAAGTCTCTATTCTACAATATTAATTTTTTATTTAGAAGTTTGCTTTGTTGAGCAATAATATTAATGATATCATCAGAATGTATTTCGTTTAAAAAATCCTTCTTCACTGACATTAACACGAATGCTTCTAGATTTTCTTGCGAGATACTTATAAGTATCTTAGCCTGCTTTTAGTTAATTTTAATATAGAAAAGCTTTGTTCACCGGACACTTGTGTTACAGACATAGATAGCAGATATTTGTACGCTTGACCAAGTATAGAATAAGCGCCACTTAACACGTTATATCTGAATACAGTAGAACCTCGAAAACTCGGCTCTCGATAACCCGGCACTCCGGATAACTCGGCCACACCCTGGCAGGGCAAAAAAATCCTTAGTTAATTAATTTTCATTATAGACAGCTTTATAAAAGTATAAAAGCTCTCATAAAATATTTTTCTGAGATCTGTCTTATCAGGTAAATTACTGTACACAGTGTATTCATTAATTTTCATTTTCATGTAGTAAAGGCTATATGCCTTCATAAAGGACGTACTTTTCCTTTGTTTAAGGGTATTTGGGCAGTTTATTCTCTGTTATATTCTCAAGTAAACAATACATACAAGTACAGTACAGTATTTTCTGAGGAAACACTCGTACTTATTTTTTTTAACCCCATTCCCGATAACCCGGCATTTTCACAAACTCGGCCACCCTTCGGTCCACATTAGGCCGAGTTTTCGAGGTTCTACTGTAATATATTATAACAACAAATAGAGCAATTTTTGCAAGCAATGCAGTAAGAGGATAAAATCGCATCTTTATTAGTTTTTACTTGATCATCAGTAGAATGTTCATTTTCGTTTAATCTTATAAAAGTTTCATTGACATTTTCCTTTAAAATATTCCATGACGATTTAAAATGTTGCAATTCTGAAATAATATTGTGTTGAGTAGCTACTGGATTAAACTGTATTAAAATACTGCTTAATTTTTGAAATGCGTTTTCAGGAATATTTAGTGATCGGTCCCGTAAATTTTGGTCTAATGTGCTTTGAACTCGCTGTAAGATGGCAGTCGAACTCTTCCCGGTTGCTCTCTCTCCCACTTTTCCTGGTCTAGATCGAAGACGTGTGAATTTGGTCCGGGAATGCAACAATTAAATCGTCTTACACTCGTTCTTGTTTACGAAATAAATCACCGATTTATTAGCTTTAGCTCGACAACCAGTTTCCTATTGGAGAGGGGATGAGGCCCGGCCTCACACTACAAAATAGATTATTTTTAATTAAATCGTTTGGAATATAGAAAAAATATTATTGAATAACATTTTTTACTTACCTAAAATAAAGGAAATAATATAAGTGGCCATTAAATTTGTTTTGACTACAATCATCGCTTTGGTGACTAGGTACAAAACTAATAACTCGCATTTCTATAGTTTAGCATTAAAATTCATAGGAATGATAAATAGTTTCTAGCAATGTAAACAAATGACCATTTTTCTTTGTTTAGAAGATAGTTTTGATTATTTTTCTACTAGGATGCTTTCTGTTTGGGCTAATGTAGTGGTGTTTGACTCAGATCGGCCGAACTAATTTAACTTCGGATACGGGTAGGGCCGGGTAAAATGATACAGGCCTACACATATACCTATATTATACACCTTACTTAACAAAAAAATATATGAATTTTTTAAAATTAAACTTAACCAAACGGTACTTTGGGTACGTTCGTAAAGTCGAACGAGTTAAACGAGAATGACGTCATAGTTATTCTTATTTCGTTAGACTTTTCGAACGATTCGTTTAGAACTAAATGGATGTTTCTAAAATCGAAGATACAAATGTTGCTAGTACAGCCTTATCCGAAATATTTTTCTTAGATTGCTTCGGGTGGACAGTTACTCCAATCATTTCATCTTTTAATTCACAATTTAAACACTCGAGTAGATTTAGAAACATCGATATCGTCGGGCGCCATTTTCTTAACGAAGTAAACTAACTCTTTCCTTCGTGAACTTCGTTAGAGTTTCGTTCGTACGTCATCACCGCAGAGCATGCGCACTGAGCGAGACTACTATTATTCGAACGATTCGTTACTAACGCGTTTAACTCGTTTGACCTTACGAACGTACCCATTATGTACAGTACATATTTAGAAAAAACGGCCCAAATTGTATACGGCCCATGTGGAATTTTCCACATTTTCCACATGGCCAGTCCGCCCCTGCTTAGTCCTAAAACCAATTAGTTAGAAAACAAATGACTATTAAGTTTAACATATTTAGAACTTTACAGCTAAGGTGAGAAACGTTTAAAATCTACAACAACCCTGTCGCGTCCTCTGAGATATAATAGTGATGCGACAAAAGAGGTATTTGACATTGACCGGTATCGGCACCCTGGGGATTTGGCAGTCCGCGAGAATGCACGCTCTGCAACCGTCTTCGATTCCATCCATTAGCCACTGGTAGGGAGCTATTTGACTAAGTGCATTGTTTTAAGATTTAAAAAGTAAAGAATATTTTGTTATTTTTATGTACTTTCTTTACAAAGCTATATTTAATTACAATTTTCTTTAAAAGTATATTCATACAATTGAAGAATATTTTGTACCAGGTATGTACCGGTACATCCACCACACATTTTATTTCACTGAGTAAGTTTTTATTATTTTATTTTTAATTGTAGCTCTTATATCGTGGTTAGCGATTCGGGAATGTAATTGTGATATTAAAAATACATTTAGAAAAGTCTACGGTTTTTACTGGCTTATCGAATAAACGATACGAATCACTGACGCGCAATTGACTGATTGCCCCTGGATCAGTGGCGGCCTTAGGAGGTGGCGAGCAGGGCAATCGCCCGGGGCCTCGCTCTTGGAGGGGCCTCGCGCAACAACCAAGTAGAAAAAAGTTGATATTTAAAACTTTTTATTTTATCCTTGGCTATTCGTTATAACAATAAAATAAATTTAATTTATAGTACAGTATATATTAATATTAATAAGTGCCTACTATTTCAATTCACATACTTTGCACAAAGGACAAGGCCTCGCAAAGATCTGCCGCCCAGGGCCTCGCAATGGATAAGGCCGCCGCTGCCCTGGATGTAGGCTTCTTACAAAAACACAGCTTCCCTATCATCAAATGTCACGGCAGGCCACTGCGTAACACCAACGGCCTTTTCGGCGCATAATCACGTTCTAAACCAATTGTCGACCTTTCGAATTTTCTGCTCGACCTCCTTTCGATCGACCAATCGCCACCCCGTCCGATCGTTGATATAAGTAAAGGATCGCCGCCATCCGGAAGAAAGGATCGGAGCCTGAGGTCATGAACTTTCGGATCGCCATCTTCTTTCTTCTGTTTCGCTTGAGCCCCGGAGGCAGGGATCGCAGACAGAGTAAGTGCAGGGAACCGATCGGACCCGACGTGGCCTCCCGCGCTAATTCTTCCTCCTTTATTGCAGTAGTGTTCGTCGACAGAGGCGAATGTTTGACTCCCGACGGGCTGAACGGTCGGTGCTCCTCCCTGTCCGAGTGTCCCCGGTCGAGCGGTTGGAGAAATTTGGAATTTCTCAGACGATCCACGTGCGGATTCGAGGGAATTTTACCACGGCTGTGTTGTTCCCACCGGATGGAGTTTGAGGGTGAGTGACGTTAATCGGCGCCAACGTGGGTAGCCCAAAAATCTTTTCGAACGTGCGTGAAGAATCCATGTAAATTGCGTAACGAAGATACGAGTGAGTAGGAATGCAAATAATCGCTACGATGCCTTTGCACAAACAAGTGCTTCGTAGCGATCTTCTTTGAACAGTACATGCACAGTATGTACCCATGTAATTAATAGAATAAATGTAGAATGCAGCATTCGGTGTGTCGATCGAGGAAGCGCGTTACGTAATTCTGGGATTGGTACAGTATGTGCGATAGCGTTACGGAGCGTAATGCTCGATGGAGGTAGTCGAAAAGAATAAAAATAGCGTAATTTACGGACGATCGTTAACCGTCTTAACAGGTGTGACTTAGAAAGGTCAAGGACAAGGCCTCGCAAAGATCTGCCGCCCAGGGCCTCGCAATGGATTTCGATGCAAATAAAATGTATGACCAACGACGAGATGAACTTTTTTTCGCCCTCCAACGGTATTCTCGTCGTAGGAGGGCGAAAAAAAGACCATCTGGAATTATTTAAATTTAAAATTTCCCGATGTCTTATCCCAATTTCTGTCACCACCCCTTCATAACCCAAAGTGACGTGACATTTTTATTATGCTTCCACTTGTAATGTCCGATCTGCTTTTAATTATTCGAATTTCTTCGTTTCTGAGATGCCAAATTTGAAGTAAATTTGTCGAGAAACCAATTTCTGAATTTGAGTTTCCCGAATAACGTTTTGATTAAACTGTCGGAAGTAAACATTACGAACAATTCTTATTTGTTTGTAGATATTTTACCGTTTTGTGCAGTTAGAGCAATGCCCTTTTGAATATAAATAAATAAATAAAGCTCAAGCTTAGATCTCGAACTGCGTACAGTACATATAGTTCGGGATAGGGAGTCTTCTTTTGTGATTCGGATGCTTTTGCAACCTTCGGATCTTCACGGATATTACGGACACTACACATCGTAATACACCTCTGAAGTGTGATTTGCGGTCTAGATTCTTAATCGTAGGTAATGCCAAAGTTCGGAGGTTATTGAAAATAAATAGAAAAACCATCTCCCATCCGAATTCTTGAATTTCCCGAAATCTATCCGTGGAATCCCGGTTTTATTTAGGTTTTTTGACTCTTCTCGTCACGTGGGCACTAATCTGGCCTTTCTGACCTGTCGCGGGTTGGGCCAAGTCCAAAACGAAACAATCGAGTGACGAGGAACGGGACCCGACAGATAACCCTGAAATATTCTGCCCCTTAAACATTATAATGCAAATACGCAGCTTAATACTAGGAATTTATGAACGTATTCCTAATCGTTTATGGCCGCAATTAATTTAAGCGACGTGTTTAATTTTTTACATCGATAAAGTTTAGGAATGAATTTCACTGGGAGGAAACCTTGAGACGGGAATTTACCAATTGGATAGACGTCACTAACCGGAATAACAACATTAATCTTTAATGATAGTCGTTATTTTGTATACTTTTTGTCTAAATTAATTAATCAAACTTAACTTCGATTGCAGTTTTCTGGATGTAAATAACACACTTATAAATGTCGAATTATGCAAATTGGTCACGCTGCAGCTCGTAAAAAAGCGATTATAAATCATGGTGGGAGGTACTGTACCTAATACATGTTATTTTACGAATAATTTAAGTAAACGAAAACGATGTTATTTTGTTTTTCTTTTAATCAGTGAGGATGGTTCGTCGAGGACATTCTTATATCAGTTCGATCTTTATCGATTACAGTATTTCCAATTGGCTTCAAGAAACAAACGGAATAAAGCAGCAAATGTAAAGCTTAATTGTTTATTAATAAGGTTTTTTGTGCAACACTGTTAATAAATCCACAATGAGCCTTTCTACAGGCCCATGATGGTTTAGTTAGGTCCAAAATTTCCAGGTTCTCTGTCGCATTCGATTCTAAATTTCTCCCATCCGGATTGAATTGATGACAGAAAATGGTGAGCCATCTGCCAGAGAGAAGTTCTCCCGAGAGGACTTTCTGTCTGAAACTATCCCCTATCATTAAACCAAACCTTTATGATTAGTAAACATTGAACTAATCATAAATACTAATATTGAAAGTATCACTAAATTCTGATAATTTTGTCATCCTCAAGTGACATCGTAGACTACTTTCGATTGGGAGCAGCCACAGTGAGGATAAGAGAGATGTTGCTCCCCCAGAGATTTGCTTTCTTCTTTAATTTAAAATGAAAGACTTCTCCCAATTGATGTTTCTCTAATTTAAAAAAATTGTAGGATGAAGAGGCTCAGAGAACACAGTGTAATTCCCTTTTTCTTTTCAGTTTGCGGTATCAAGACGAAATTCAGATACGAAACCTTCGGTATTCGAAATTCGCAGTTGGATGCATGGCCGTGGCTGGTGAGTTTTACGTTACTGTAAATTATTTTTAACTATTTCATTCTCTTACCGAAATCCACGCGTATTATACGTCATCTGGGGATAGACATTGAACGTGCCTGTTTTCCACCAGAGGAACCGAGTTGGTGGAGAGGAAGAAGTTCGAAGTCCATCCCGAGCAGGAGGCTCGGGATAGACTTCGAACTTCTTCCTCCCTTTGGGTCCTCTGTAGAACATCCCACGAAAGATATTTTTCATGGGTATTGAAATAGCCGTTTTTGTGCCATCGAGAGTTAAGCCAGGCTCGCAACGGGAGGGAGATCTACATCTCCCTCTCTTGGTACGTGCAAATTTCTAGGGACAATAGGCAAAAGTTTTTACCTAATTCTTTTCTCTCTTTCTCAGGCGACCGTTTATAACACCAAATATAGCCGAATCCGTGGATTCTACTGCGGGGGTGCTCTAGTGTCTGATCGACACGTCATCACCTCCGCTCACTGCGTAATGGAAAGGCTACGAAAAATGTGAGCATTGGGCATTTATAGAAAATGCTTTTATATAATTTTTAATTGGCTGACGTTACGATACCGTCCTTATAGTGCGAACGCATCCAGTCTGACTGTTCGGTTGGGTGAACACAGGTTGAACGACGACTCGGACGGAGCCAATCCGGTCGAATTTCGAGTAAGAGAGGTCAAGAGTCACCCCGATTTCATGCGAAAAACGTTCAAGAACAATATCGCTATTCTTGTTCTAGAAGAGACGGTCACATTCGACGAATTCGTTAGACCCATTTGTCTTCCCTACGATCAGCTGAGGAACGAAGTTCTGGCGGGAAGAGACGCCTTCGTGGCGGGATGGGTAACTACAGCCTTCGGTAGATGGACCTTAAAAAATTTACTGTATTTGATTCGCTAGTTTACCTCTAAATTTAATCTTCTAAGGTTTTTAGACATAGACTCGAACCCCGAATTGAAGGAGTTACGGAATACAATTTGGAATAACGAAGAGTGTCGTCGCGTGTTTCACCGAGACTTGCCAATAACTGTAGAGTATATCTGCGCGGGAATTCGTGATTGCTGCAAGGAATCTTGTTCGGTAAGAGGAATTACGATCTTCTGTTTTACGAAAATGCCATAAAATTTGAGGAAAAAATTTATAGATAAATGCAGGAGGACCTCTGGCTCTTCCCGTCCGGAAATCGTTTTCGGGTTCTTCTCGATTCTACTTGGTGGGGGTGGCTTCCTTTGGCAAGAGAATCGGTACATCGGAATATCCCGTGGTATATACCCGAGTCACCGAATATTTGGACTGGATCTCAAATAACCTGCCTTAATTATTTCATCTCTTTCAGTTTCGTACCAGAGTGAAACCCATTATTTCTCCTCGGAGCCGTGCACAGATACTCGAGAGTCCTGGTGTAAAGGGGTTCGGGGACCGCTACGTCTATAAACAGATTAGTTAATACATTAAATACTTATAAATAAACAGGTAGTTTATAGTGCAACAATTGTTTATTTATACTGTTTACTTCAGAAACTAATATAAATAATGCTTGGAAAAACCATTGATATTTCTGAAAGCGTGATAGCTAATTTCATACATTGCACGTGTTCAAAAACAAAGGTACAGGATTTAGAAATACGGTACACCTATATGGCATAATGGGGAAACTTCTCGGTAATTACGTAACGAATTTAGAGTGGCAACATTAGACATTTGGGAAGTTGCAATGTATCCGTTTTAACAGTTCTTTAAACCATTCACTTGAAACTAAGAACGCGCATGTCTGACGATTCCATTTTCTCGAAAAAGCTTCCAAGGCGCGCCAGTAGATAATGTCGGAGCGAGATTCGGGTCTAAAGGTGTCGGAGCGAGATTCGGGTCAAAGACGAAAGCACCAACATATTCAACGCCCAACGACCGGGAAAAAAGATACAAAGGGGAGAAAAACATGTCTTGTTTGTATCCTAAATTGGGCGGAGCCGGTACGATTCCAGGCGATTCAGGTGGAAGGAAGGAGAAGGGAGAAGTCCCCAAGCGGTCAATGGAGAGCATGGAAGATTCCATGCTTCGAGTGGGAGCGACGAGGACAAAAGAGTAACGGGAGGGAGAGGCGACCCCTCCCGTCACTCTGTTGGGAGAGAGAGGGAGAGACGACCCTTTCCCTCCCGTTACTCTTTTGTCCTCGTCGCTCTCACTCGGAATTACGGGGATAGTGGGTCGACTCGCGCAAGACCGTGGACTCAACACCGGATCCGACTCCTGATAATTTTTAGTAAGTCTTAACTCTAGCTCTAGATGGTGCCATCTTTTGGATTGAACGGACTTGTCGTCGGCCATCGACCCCAACGTGTGATGAGAAGTAACAAAAAGTGCTGACGTTTTCGAAATTATCCACATTTTGTGAAATAAAATGGAACTTTCAGACCGAAAAACACTCTATTTAGAGAAAAGAAAAGGACGAATTAAAGTGGCGTGCAGTCGTCACCAACGTCGAAATGCAAAGTTTTAAATTAATAGAAGTAACTTCTGTTTAAATGACAAGCGACTTTTTTTCGGTGGAAACTCGAAAATTGTATATACTTCGACCTTAAACCAGTTTTTCGTTAATAAAAAAGGGAATAAATCCTACAATTTCCTATTTTCATTCGTGCCCCATCTCATATAGGTTATTCTCTATCGATGGTTGGTAAACTCGCCCTTTTTTTTTAACACTAAATAGTTTTGCTCCAGGTCAGACTGAATAGTTACTTACGGTATGGAGACACGTTGACGATCTGCCGAGGAGGCAGCCTCCCGGAAAGACTCACAAAGGAAAACAGGACCCTATTTTGGTGTTACAAACATAAAGAAGACCCGGAAAACTCTGGCCAGACGCGAACCCGCAACCAGTGAGTGTTTAGTGGTTTCATCCACTTGGCACTGTTCCAAGCGTGTTTCTTTGCACTAAGAGCAGATGCCCGCCAGCAAAAAAATTTCAGCAATGAATTTTCGCCATACTTTCCCTCTGTTATATATAACAGTCGGGAAAATAAAAAGTATTGTTAAATCTAATATATATTATATATAACTTTAATTATATATACTATATATATAATTAAAGTTATATATAATAGTCTAAAATCCAGTGGCGTGCCGTCATTGGAAGCGGTGGATGCGCCGCTTCCCTTTTATTTTCTAAAAAAATAAATACATATTAATTTTAATTATATGAAAATAGTCGCACAATATTTTATTATAACCGCATTATGTATCTTATTGAAAATTTCTATACTACACATGAAAAAAAAATAAGATCGCTATTGTATATTCGAATATTAGTGGCGTAGTGGAAGAGCTGTATCGTCAGCATCCAAAAAGCCAGATTCGCGCATGCGCTTTACAGAGCACCAACCTCACCCGGTTCAGCTGGTGGAAGCCTAGGACCTTGGGTGGATGCTACACGTATACCGCATCCAATTCTATCCAGGACCGGTTCTGGGCTGTTAGGCGCATGCCTGCTAGGTATTTGGCCGCCCTCGCCCGATTACGTAAATCACGAGTAGATTTATAACTTAACCCAACCGATAAAAATTTACTGGTGTGTTTTTATGATAGTTCTGTATAGTTGACATGAGTTTAAAAAATCCATTAAATTATTTGATATTTTTATTCCGCTCTCCGATTTTATATTACTCACGGATTTCAATGTTAAACCAGTGATATTACGATTTCTTATATCCCATCTTTAAGGGGATGTAGAAAAAACGCGAACAATTCTTGTACAATGTTAAAAAATTAACTGTTACTTTGACGGCATCATTTACAATTAAATTTAATGAATGAGAGAGATGGTACAGAAAAAGCTCTAGAATTTATTTTCCTTACATTTACGATTTATATATCAGTTTGTCATAAAAATTTGGCTTTCCACTTTTTTTCGAACACTACAAACATTCGAGTACCAGTCGACCCCCCTATAACACTGTTGATAATTCCGTTTTATATGAATTCCATGTTGTACGAATCACTTAGATTTTACAAATACTTGAGCCGTTCACAGCCCGGCATACGTATTTGTAAAATCTAAGTGACTCGTACAACATGGAACTCATATAAAACGGAATTATCAACAGTGTATAGGGGGGTCGACTTGTACAAAGTAACTGGTTTCGACTTATTTCTACTTAAGAAGTAGTTAAATAATTAAGCAATTAGAGAATTGGGGACATAAACAAAACCCTGATGAAAGAGCCAAAATTTTACTTAAACAAAAGCTTAGCCGAACCATCTGTAGCCGAGTACAGTGGAGACTGATTTATTTGTATTATTAATGTAAGACAGAAATTTTTCCAGTTCAATGAGAGTGACCGAAAAGTTGTAAATTTTGGAAATTTCTGAGGACACTTGATCCTAAAACGAATTAGTTAGAAAACAAATGACTATTAAGTTATTTATCAAGTTAGTTATTCAACATATTTAGATTTTTACAGCTATGGTGAGAAACGTTTAAAATCTACAACAGCCCTGTCGCGTCCTTTGAGGTGTACTAGTGATGCGACAAAAGAGGTATTTGACATTAACCGGTATCGGCACCCTGGGGATTTGGCAGTCCGCGTGTATGCACGCTCTGCAACCGTCTTCGATTCCATCCATTAGCCACTGGTAGGGAGCTATTTGACTAAGTGCATTGTTTTAAGATTTAAAAAGTAAAGAATATTTTATATTTTTATGTACGTTTCTTTACAAAGCTATATTTAATTATAATTTTCTTTAAAAGTATATTCATACAATTGAAGAATATTTTGTACCAGGTATGTACCGGTACATCCACCACACATTTTATTTCACAGATTAAGTTTTTATTATTTTATTTTTAATTGTAGCCCTTATATCAGAATGTAATTGTGTTATTAAAAATGCATTTAGAGAAGTCTACGGTTTTTACTGGCTTATCGAATAAACGATACGAATGGACCCTAGACCATCACTGACGCGCAATTGACTGATTGCCCCTGGATGTCGGCTTCTTA